GTCTAATAATGTCACTAAAATAAGACTTTGAAGTATTTTTTCAGGTGATAAAGACAATAATTTTGTAATAAAAGAATTTTATTTTGTGTGCACTTTTGCTTTATGTCTGTACTGTTAAGCTTCATGAGGCCAATCTGTGTGTGAGGTTATTTTTAACATCAAGAAGATGCAAGAAAAAAAAAACGGCTCTGTTGCCACGTCACAACGCCACACAAGATGTTTTGTTAATAGGTTTAAAATAATATATGTGGTCGTTAAAGTGCAACAGATGTGGGGTTCGATTCACTGAGGCAACTGTAGCCATGGCAACAGAGGATCCATCCTGGTACAGAAAGGAAAATAATAAGAATGTGTTTGGTTTTGTGTTTTGTTGTTAAAGGGTTCAAAGTGAACGTGTGCCCGTGTGCTAGTGTCTTATTTGTGGGTTGTTTCAGAAAAGGTAGCGTGGAGGATTGGTGGATTTGATTTCCACTCCTGGATTTGCCTCTTTGATGCCAAGAGTGAAGGAGATGGAAGAACAATACAACATAAATAAAACCTCATGCATAAAGTCATTCATGCATATTTTTATTGCTCAAATTGCTTCTCTGCTGAGATATTCCAACTTTGATACTAACTCCCCAGAAAGATCCTGTGAGATCCAGAGGAACGTAACAAACAAAAGAAAATTTAATGTGTCAGTTTTGGCTTCATGATCAATAAATCAAAGCAGACAATGACAGTGTTTATTTTAATTTTCTTCAAAGATATTTACAGTTGTTAATGTGGTTTGGTTTCTGTTGAACAGCTCATGTCTCTGCCTCAGACAGTRTGATCAGTGGAGACAACCACCGGTCCAGGGGGACACATGGAGCTGATCTACGCCACCTCCGACACTCAGTCAAAGACATCACTTAACATTCCTCATGATTGAACRCCTATAAACAAAACTGCAAGATGGATGTCATTCAGGCTGTGCAAGACGATGAGAGAGGAAAATACAGAGTAATGTTTCAGAARAAATTAAAACATGACAATTACATTTTTATCTGTTTACCTTTGGGACAAGTGTGAAAGGTTTTGCAGTTTATATGAACTATGTGTTGCTTTTGAACACGTTCAATTCTGCTTGTGTGTTTATTTTTACAGTTGAATTTAAAAACTTGTAATTTATTCAACTAGTAAAGTTTTTTAACATTTGACTGACAATAACAGTTGCATTGTTTGCATTGGCTTTGAATTAAGAGAGGACATTTATCTGATATCATTCCATTAGTGTGGATAGAAGGTGTGTATATGATGTAAAAGTGATTCTGTCTTTTTGTCTAATTGATGTGGGGACTTTCAGTTAGCTCAGTTTAAGTATTTTATTGTCAAATCCAGCCATACTTAAAATGTTTTAGAACAAGTTAGTGTTACTCAGGACCAGAAGACATGCAAAAAYGACATTAGGAAAAAACAGCAAACACAAAAACAAAGTCTTTCTTAATTGCTAGCTAATTTACTTTTTAAATTAAAAAATAACTTAACATTAAAAACATCAGAGTCATTTGGTGACAGCCGAAGGAAACTTGGAGTCTAAAGCAAAGGCTACTAGGAATAGATTTAAATTAAGAACATCACTTGTCTGCACAGATTTAAACTGTTTATATCAGGTCGCCACTAGATGACGCTGTTTTCACTAATCTAAAGATTCAGACGTTGATTGACAGTAATCRTCTCCCCGCCCACTGCGGTACACCGTCCAATCAGAAAGCACGTTTAGTTGTTTTGCGTGCGCTGACAGCGGAACTGAACAACCCAGAGAGAGGCTAACTGCTACAAACCAACACAACAAGGTACTCTTTAAGCGTTCAGATTGGTTTTTTATTGTACTTTTGATGAAGWATGTATGATCGCGTTTTACTCTTAATTTACTGGTGCAATTTTTCGTATGGTTTAGTCGTTAGAAAGACTTAAGATTAAATGAGGCCTAAAGGTTAWAAGTGAAAGCTATTAGCAACCGAGCTAGCATGACACATTCAGCTTGAGGCATGTGAAACATTAACAGGACACGTCTGTTTAAAACGCTCAGAAATACTTAACAGTGTGTATGTGTTCTTATGTTCTGCACTTTTCGCTGTCTGSTAACAGTGCGGGGTATTTGACAGGCAAAACAACTAGCTTTAAAATTAATATGCCGGTGATTTAGCGTTGTCGCTAACGGAAACACGGRGTCTGAGCCAGCCTCAGGGACTTTTTATTGATCATAACCTCACTTCGGAAAGTAGGTAAAAAAACTTAGTTGACTAATGTATGGTGTATATATTACAATCTTTTGAAAAACATACAATCAATCTAAAAGCTAAAAAATGTAAGAACCTAATAAGTGCATGTTTTGCAAAAAAAAAAAAAAGACAGGTTTTAGATGTCTTTGTTTTACTTTTGCAGGATTGTTACTATGATGTAATCACAACTGCATAAGCAATTTTTTAYATTAAATACTTGTTACCGTTATTTTGGTGGCAACTAATATGTATAACTAATATCCAGCTTACCACGTAGAACTGTAAAACAAAGTGCAGAACTATTTTAACATGTTATCAGTAAAAATAACTTCAGGAACAGCAGTTGTTTACTGCAATTTAGAGATATTAAAAGTTTATCTGATCTTTGAAATAGAAGTTGACTGATTTGAGTTTTCTTCAGCCTGGTACTAGACCACAACGAAAACAAGTGTTCTCACTTTCTTGTCTTATCCATGTATTAGTAATTGATGCACTATGTATGTATACAAAATTATTTCTAAATAAATCAAAAGCTGTTACTGATTCTTACTGCACCAAGAAAGTTGATGTCTGATATACCACACCAGTGTTTACATCGTCTGGTCAATGTGTATTTTTTATGTAAGAGCCCTAATATGTATTAGAACAGAGGTGCCCAAAGTGGGGCCCGCGGGGCAAATTTGGCCCGCCAARCCATTTGATTTGGCCCACAGCAGTTACCCTGGTTACTAGATTGTAATCTTCTGTCTTATGTAGAAATACTATATTTGCACTTAATCTCTTCAAACATTGGTCCAACTATAGGTAGAAGGAGCTGTAGTCAGATAGTCTTAACTCATGGTGCTCACTTTATCTTTGAATTATGTTAAGATTAAACTTAAAATACAAGTAACTTCAAGAGACATTTATATCAGATTTAAGTCCATATCTAGATTTGCACACCTTATAAGACCACATATACTCAAATTTTAAATTATGAAAAGTCCCATGAGCCTTTGTTGCCCAAGCAAACATTAAATTGTATCCATGTCTATGGGCTGAAAAAACAAACAAACAAACAACAAGAAAATGTGGGCAACCACACTGGCTGCTAGCTTAGTCATAAAATACAACTTTATTTGAAGTATTTGCATTTCGTGTATTATATTATTGCATTTGGCCCACCACCCTCAGATTGATTTTAATCTTGGCCCTCTCAGGGAAAATGTTTGGGCACCCTTGTATTAGAAGAATATTCCTCTCTGATATTAGTGCAAGACTGCAATTAAGAAAAAACCTCTGTAGAGCCTTTTTTTTGTAATTCACTTCTGATTACAGCTCTTCTGTTGAACGCTTGAGCAGTTTGAGATCTTGTGTGATATTAAGGTGTGGTTTGGGTAAAATACACTATTCTAAATGTATTTCCACTTTGGTTTTTTTTTTTTTTTGCCAAATTTGGTAGTGTCAATAGGGCATTTATCTTTCATGGCCATCTCTTACTTATTTGAGCCCGAGTACACAGAAGCAGAGCTCATAGGATTTAAGAGATTTGGAGAGGTGAAGGAGTTAAGAGAAGCAGGAGCTAAATAAAGGTGAGCTTTTGTGAAAACACATGCTCAATCTGCAGCAAGCTCTTCCAATTTTTGATTATTTTTTCTTTTTCAGAAAAATGTCTCTGAGGGTTGGGACTTTTTTCTGTTGGGTCAACATTTGCTAAATGCACTAGCTAAATACCTGAGGTGAATTTTAAGAAGAAAAAAAATTATGCATTCAATTTGTAGAGCAAATCACATTTGTAAATCTCAAAGCACTACATTTCAAAAATCACAAAAAACATTAATTTCACCTATTGGTTTGTTTTCTACATTATTTTTCAAATGTATTCTCAATTTGAATCTAAACTTTAGCATCAGTTTCATTTTTATCAGTTTAGTAGTTCTTCAAAGTTATTATTTCATAAATTATTTACATCCAGTTTTACGTTTGAAAAAGGAGTAAAAATAAAAAGATTGATCTGAACGCTTCAGGTTTAAAAGTGTTCCTTTGAAAACATACCTGGGATTTTGAGAGACTCTGTTTCTGAAGCACACGGTGCGTTAATTTGCTTACTTGCAACACATGCTTGATCGTCTGTTTGGCTTGTCAGGGAATATGCTCTTTGGCCCTCTTTGATGGTGATCCAGGGGGACATGTGGAAGATGTGCAAGTGTGCATCAAAAAGCATCAGATTTATGATGATACATGATTTCTGTGCTATCAACACTGGATGGAGATGAATGAAAAACAAAGAAGACAAGTTTTTGCTCCAGTGGGCTTTCAGACTCTCTGTTGCATTAATTTCAGACAGTAGCCTCAGGTAATGAAACCAGCCTGATGCAATCACAATTATTTTATCACTCGCCTGTAACACTTAACTTTCCTTGTGTCCCAGAATTTGTTGAGAACAAAGATTTTAATTTATCCAAAGTCTGAAGAACACATTTTTACTCTGTCACTTTTGAAATGGTAAAATGTGGTCTTGCTTTGCATCCAGATGTACTGGTAGTATTTTTGTGTTGCAGTAGTCTTACTGTGTGTAGAAACCTTTGAAAAGAGATGCAACATCAAAGAATGATTCTTTCTATTTTATTGTTTGTTTTTCTACATTTTTTGAGGCAGCATCATTTCRGTACAAAGATAGATATTTTAATTAAATGATCACACCTCTCAGCCTCTCAGGGAAAGTTTATTCTAGGGTTTTGAAAGGGAGGCTTCGACTGATTGTCGAACTTTGGATTTATGATGAGCAGTGTGGCTTTTGTCTTGGAACAGKGGACCAGATTTTTACCTTGGAGAAATTCCTAAAGGGGTCAACGGCATTTTTGATTTTTTTTTTCTTGTGGATATGGAGAAAGTTTATGACTGTGTTCTCCAGTAAAGGTGGAATGCCCTCTCTAAGTCAGAGATGAGTCGCTGCCTCAAGTGGAGAAGTTCAAATGCACGGTAGTCTTGTTTACATGAGATGGTAGGATGGAGTGGGTGATGCATCAGCTGACTGAGGTCTTGTCCTCAGTAATGARGGCAATGMTTCGGTCTGTTGTGGTGAAGAAAAAGTTAATGGAAATGCAAAGCTCCTGTTTTACTGGTTCTTCTCTGTTCCAACCCTCATCGTTAATAGATTATAACCAAATGAACCGAGAACCCTGATACAAGTCAATGAAATAGGTCTCCTTCTTAGGGTGGCTGGGCTAAACCTTAGGGTGAGGATCCCYGTAGTGGGAGCTTGGAGTAGACCTGCTGCTCCTCCATATCAAAAGCAGTCCACTGAGGCGGTTCAGGTAGCTGATTAGGATACCTCCTGGATGCCTCCCTTCTGAGTTTTTCCAGGCATGTCGCACTGGGAGGAGACCCTATGGCAGATCCAAAACCTACTGGAAATACATTGGGATCCCCCAGGAGGAGCTGGAGAGTGTTGCAGAGGATAGGAATGTCAGGGTTTCCCTCCTGGACCTTTTGCCTTCGTGACCCGACCACTGATAAGTGATTGAAGATAGATAGATGGGTGGTAATTAATTTTATTTTGCCATCAACCTTAAGTGTGTTTGGATCCTATTTCTTTGCAGGGACTGAATTATGAATAAACATGCTCTGCTTCTCATTTATTGCACTTGTTGCCCACAGTGGTGCTACTCATCCAGGATCCAAGTGGCTCCTCTGGTATGAGTTTTAAGACCTTTGGTCAGGACTCCTCTGCTGTTAGATTTTAAAGGAAAGAAACTTTATTGTTTGTGTATATGCCTGACAAATTAACTAGGAAAACCTGGCAGGATCTTTTTTAAAGAAAATAAAATGGGATGCAGATGCTGTAACGTTTTAAGGCTTTGGATGATTGGGACCTAGGGAAGTGTGCTCTGTCTTTGGGGTACCTGTGCCTATACATTAAACCTGTCTCTGTGTAGGTTTATAGTAATGTCTGCATACATGCAAGCTGGTTTTAACTGGGGCTGTGTATTGGCAAGAATTTGGCGATACGATACATGACAGAGAGGTCACGATACGATATATCCTGATATATTTTGATACTGTAAACAAGGTGATATATTGCGATATTTTTGGTCCAAAAATTCTATTAAATAAAAACCTTACTGGGAAAAAAAAAACCAAAACCAAAATTCATTGTCTCAGAAAATTTTAATATTACATAGACATACTTTTGATACATTTAGCTGTGTTCTGCTTTGTATTTGTTTTATTTTATTTGTTTCATATTTCATCCATGTTTTCAATTATTAGACTAAATTTGCCAATAAATAGTTTGAAAATATATTTTTTGCAGCTTTTCGTTTTTAATATTAATTTACAATATGGTCACCCCACACTTAATAATAACGTTTATGTTGTCATAAAGTTCAGTAAACAGATTATATGAAGCTGCTGCACAGAGTTTCTGAGATCAGCTGACCTGCATCCAGAACCTGATTTACATAACTGGGTCGAACAGCAGGGCAGGTCCCGAAGAAAACCAGTTAAGAAATTGAGAAGCTAAACGAGTTAAACCGTTTTTGAAGCGAACACAGCAGGATAAAGTATATGGACTTTGATGTGATCATCAGCCGGACATTGAGAGCAACAGACAGAGTTTTATGTCACGGGGGGAGTGCCGAGCTCGCTTGAGGTGATAGATGCATGCGCTATATACGTAACGTGAAAGCTGACTACAGTTGGAAAAAAGAGCACCAGAGACGCTTAATTTGGCTTAAAATACAGACATTCTGACAAATAGCTGTTTGTAACCTTACCTCAGCTTAGAAGGCAGAGAGTGTCGGTCTTTTCCACTCAGATTCAGCTATCGGAGCATAAAGCTAATGTTTACTTAACAATGCTAATGCTCTCTGGTGCTCAAGAGGTAGAGGAGCCAAATGGCTGGCTCACTGCTGCCAACTAGTGGTCAGAGGCTGAACTACAACACAAAAATGAATGGCTGGCAGGAAAGTTGACATTGTAAACCTTAATAAAAAAATCGGTACAGGGCTTTAGAATATCAATACAGTATCGGGAAATGAAATATCGCGATATTTCAGTGTATCGATATTTTCTTACACCCCTATTTTTAACGTGTTAATTTAAAAGATCAGGCAACCTTAAGTAATTTTCAAAATTAATTTTCTCTTCTTCCTTTTAGTTCCTGAGTGATAAATGTGCTCACCRAACTCTCAATTTCTGCTGATGGTCATGTGTGTTCTTCTTTATTTAGCCTATCTTAGTGGAAAGGGTTTATGGCACATTTGTAGATGGAGCATGTAATCTGTCATGGTCTGCCAGGTCGGCCCTACCTGTTAGGACAGAAACGATGCAGACTGGTAGAAATGATGAAACTTACATTGTACAGGAAACAACACTATGGCTTAAATGATGAGAGACATTATTTTTGTGTCATTTGTCATACTTACGCTGCTACTTGTCTAATATATATGCTTTTGTTACCTGTGCATCTTGTGTTTAGATGGAGGTGGAACAGCTTCTGTCTCTATCAGGCTCAGCTCTAGCCCAGGCTGTCAGCTCTCTGCTGGAGACCCCGGGCCTCTACGTTTTCTCTGATATCCTGGAGCTGCCTAATGTCAGAGAGGTAAACACACATCACATTTATATGTTGTTAGAAAAAAGATAGAATTTTTGAGATGCTTCCACCAAAACATTTTAGCTTGATTTTTACTTGATCATCTTTTTTTTTTCCAAGACCAGACCAAAAATGATTTTAACTGACTTTGGCATCACTGCTGGGCTTTGACCCAGACGTAACTGAAGACGCCAATACACTCAAAGAAAAAAAAGTCAAAAGCAGTGGAAGCATTTTAATAACACCATGGTGAAATCCTTCCAGAGCTTACAAAGTACCGAGAGCTGTGAAGCTGTCCAATCTACTGCTCCACATGGTGATAATTTGTCACCAGCTCAATAGCTGGGTTTCAGTCACGTGGTTTCGAAGGCGGAGCGATCTCCACTGGAGGGCAGGGGGTAAAATGTCTATGGAGGAAACTACTGTAGAGAGTTTATATTGTATGGATTTAGGTCCTATTTCAAGATATATAACAAGAATTTGTTCACAAATATGTCAGACATGACTCGTATGATGAAGATGAATGAGTTTTCGACAGAACCTAAAGATTTTCTGAGGCTATCGGTACGTCCAGGGGTAGACATAAGGAT